AAAAATAGCCCTGCCCTTCACTATCCAAAGGTGTCTCAGAGCGGCTTACAATCTCCTTCCTTTCCTCTCCCCACAACAGACACCCTGTGAGGTAGGTGGGGCTGAGAGAGCTCTTTCGAGGACTGCTCTTCAGAGAACAGCTCTGAGAGAACTTGCGACTGACCCAAGGTCACCCAGCTGGCTGCACGTGGAGGGAGTGGGGAATCAGACCTGGTTCTCCCGGATTAGCGTCCGCGCTCCTAACCACTACACCGAACTGGCTATAAAGTAGGTATAAGATTAAAGGTGCCACTGGACTCAAACTCTGTTCTGTAAAATTATGGAATTTCAGAATAATTTGGGCCTATCTTGGCGCAGAACTTCCACGTATGCTTTTATTTGTGACCCAACCACAGGGCATACCTTCTTCTGTATACACACACCCTGCGCCTCCAGCATGAAGATCTATTTACCCAGGAAATCCCACTTTGGGGACCACTGACTGTGGATGCTAGACTGTTCTCCACTAGGAACAGGGCTTTCTCTGTGGAACTCTCTTCCACTGGAGGTTTGGCACGCACGGCCCCTTCCTCTCCTTCTGGAGGGAAGCAAACCGTGGCCTCTTCCACCATGCCTCCAGACACGCGACCGAGCAAACGACGCAATGCCGCTTCGTTTATTCCGCTGTGTCCGCTGTTGATGCTATTCAGCTAAGCTTGTTGTCTATTAGTGTTTAGGGTTCCTTGGAGATCTGAATCATTTTGACTGTGAATTGCTTTCATTTCATCCAGCACGCAGGGGGCATGGGTTCAAATCCCCGTTCGACCCCTCAGCGACAAACTCCTTGGAAGGAAGGTTGGGATAAAAATATAGCAGACTTTTATTTCCCTTAAAGTGCCTCGGGAACTGTGAAGGGTCAAAGGCCCCTTATAAATATCCTTTATAAATATAGTAACTGAATAATACAATTTTACATTTCAGAATATCCTTTGAAAGGTGGAAGGACTGGACACACAGCAGTGCTGAAAGCAAGGTAAAAGGTAAAGTAAAGATACAGGTTTCCCTTGCTCGAAAGCCGGTTGAGTCTGACTCTAGGGGGCGGTGCTCTTCTCCATTTCCAAACTGAAGAGCCAGCGCTGTCTGAAGACATGTGGCCGACATGACTAAATGCCGAGGCGCACAGAACGCTGATACCTTCCCACCAAAGCAGTACCTGTTTATCTACTTGCAGTTTCTTGCTTTCGGACTGCTAGGTTGGCAGGAGCTGGAGCCAGAGACGGGAGCTCGCTCCGTCACGCGGCACTCGGGTCTTGAGCTGCCGAACTACAGACCTTCTGCAGCTCAGTGTCTTGACCTCTAAGCCACCACAGCCCCCTACAGAAGCAAGGATGCCATGCCAAATACATTCACAGTGCTGCTCCCAGCATTTTCTGCCATTTCCCCTACTTTGCGGAAGGCCAAACGGCAGCCTTCACGGTGATCCCGGTGGTGGGGGAGGGCAGACCTATCGGGTTGGTCTCCGATCCTACCTTCGACGGGGGGAGAGGGCGAACTGCAGAACTCGGGGAACTTCTCTCTCAGCATGGCCCGGAGCTCCTTGTCCAGCTTTGGGTTGTCGAAGAGAGGAGCCAGGTGCCTGCGGGGCGAGGAGAGGCAGAAACGTTCAGACGGAGAGTGACTTCCAGCTCCTCACCGAGGGACAATTCAAACGCTACAAAGTCCTTGTGGCTGCCGCAAGGCTTTTGCGACGGGCATTCAGTGGGAGTTCTATGCCTCCTAGGAAGCACATGGGTACAACGCTGTTTGTGACTGTGGTGCACGGGGCTTTGTTTTCTCACACGGACACACATGAAGCTCCCTTATACTGAATCAGACCACTGGTCCGTCAAGGTCAGCGCTGTCTACTCAGACTGGCAGCAGCTCTCCAGGGTCTCGGGCTGAGGTCTTTCATGTCACCTACTGCCTGGTCCTTTTGACAGGAGATACTGGGGATTGAACCTGGGACCTCCTGCATGCCAAGCAGAGGTTTTTCCACTGAGCCACAGCCCTTCTCCATGGTTCTCCAGGGTCTCAGGCAGAGGTCTTTCCCATCTCCTACTGCCTGCTCCTTTTAACTGGATATGCCAGGGATTGAACCTGGGACCTTCTGCAAACCAAGCAGATGCTCTACCACTGAGCCACATTCCCTTTGGTCTAGAATGGCTCCTCTTATGTTTTTATGGGAGATCAGTGGTGGCTAAAGTACTGTCTACTCAGACTGGCAGCGGCTCTCCAGGGTCTCGGGCTGAGGTCTTTCATGTCACCTACTGCCTTGTCCTTTTGACTGGAGATGCCGGGGATTGAACCTGGGACCTTCTGCCTGCCAAGCAGAGGCTCTTCCACTGAGCCACAGCCCCTCTTTACAGCTCTCCAGGGTCTCAGGCGGAGGTCTTTCCCATCACCTACTGCCTGCTCCTCTTAACTGGAGATGCCAGAGATTGAACCTGGGACCTTCTGCATGCCAAGCAGAGCCTTTTCCACTGAGCCACAGCCCCTCTCCATGGTTCTCCAGGGTCTCAGGCGGAGGTCTTTCCCATCACCTACTGCCTGCTCCTCTTAACTGGAGATGCCAGAGACTGAACCTGGGACCTTCTGCATGCCAAGCAGATGCTCTGGCACTGAGCTACGCCCCCCTTCCCACCATTTTCATATCCCAAATTGGCTCCGGGGGGCTGCTGCTTGCCTCACTATGACAATTACGTGAAGCCATGCAAAGTACATCATCTTTGCAGTGGAACAAACATCACCTCCCCAGGGTGGTTTCAGGACACGAAGGCAAGGCTGGGGGAGGCTGAAGCTCCTTCTCCGCTCGTGCCACGGCTGCAGTCAGATCCAGGCCCCCCGTGCATCTGGGAGTCACAAAGTCCCTGGGGCAGCCACAAGGAGTTCAGAACAGAGGTGTCAAATCTCATTTGTTCCGAGGGCCGGGCCTGAACGTCGCTTTGTCGGGCCAGGCCATGCGTGCCGTAAAATGTAATGCCAGCTACCGGAGATCATAAACTTTATGAAGGAGACAGGGAAACCCAATTAACGATATTATTTTTGCTCAAAATACAAACAGGCTTAAAACATTAACAATGAAGGCAATGACCAAAGCTCCTTCTAAGCCAGGGGCATCAAACGTGCGGCCTGGGGGCTGGATGAGGCCCCCAGAGGGCTTACATAAGAACATAAGAGAAGCCAATGTTGGATCAGGCCAATGGCCCATCCAGTCCCACACTCTGTCACACAGTGGCTAGAAATACCAGGTGCCATCAGGAGGTCCACCAGTGGGGCCAGGACATTAGAAGCCCTCCCACTGTTGACCCCCCCCCAAGCACCAAGAAGACAGAGCATCACTTGCCCCAGAGTCCCTATCTATACCCTGTGGCTAATAGCCACTGATGGACTATTAATAGCCACTGATGGACTACTAATAGCCACTGATGGACTCCATATGCTTATCTAATTCCCTTTTGAAGCCGTCCATGCTTGTAGCCGCCACCACCTCCTGTGGCAGTGAATTCCATGTGTTAATCACTCTTTGGGTGAAGAAGTACTTCCTTTTATCTGTTCTAACCCAACCGCTCAGCAATTTCATTGAGTGTCCATCAGTCCCACAGTGGAATTGGCCATCTCCTGATTCCAGTTCTGCTGCTGCATCATAGCTTGCTCCGCCAGACTCTCCTAATCACTCAGCCATTTCATGTTTTCCCCTGGGTCCTAGACTCAGAACTCTGAGCATGAGATTTCTGTGGTGAATGTCGATAAATCAAAAGTAGGTTTGCAGCTTACAGCGCTAATGTTTTAAGCATGCTTTTATTTTAAGTTTAAAAAAATCTTTGTGTTTGTGTCCTTTATAAAGCTTATATCCGCTACCTGGTATTACATTGTATGACACACATGACCCGGCCCAACAAGGTCTCATTTATGTCAGATCTGGCCCTCATAACAAATGAGTTCGACACCCCTGCTCTAAGCTGCGGAGTCTTGCGAGCTTTGTGAGCTACAGGCATTAAAGTTGTGAGCAAACAATTTGGCTCCTGCATAAGTTTAGTTTGCTCTGGAGCCATCCTTCCTGAGCGAAGACAAAAATGAGTGAGCCGGAGGCTAAAAAACTGTGAGCTAGCTCACACTAACTCAGCTTAGAGGGAACACTGGCTATGACCAGTTGTTCGCAGGCCGGATAAGAGCTCTGGAAGGTCCGGTTCTGGCCTGCATGCCATATGTTTGACACCCCTGGTTTAGAACATAAGAGAAGCCATGTTGGATCAGGCCAGGGGCCCATCTAGTCCAACACTTTGTGTCACACAGTGGCCAAAAACCAGTTGTAACATGTGAATTTGTCCAAAAAGGAGGAAGCTGATACTTCTCGCAGGGCTCTTTTTGTAGAAGGAACTCCTTTGCATATTAGGCGACACACCCCTAATATAGCCAGTCCTCCAAGAGCTTACAGAGCTCTTCTTACAGGGCTACATTAGGGGTGTGTCGCCTAATATGCAAAGGAGTTCCTGCTATAAAAAGAGCCCTGCGTGAGCAGCTGCTCCTTAGTCTCCGCAGGATTTGAACACGGCTCCGAGACCAGCATAATTTTTCAGCGGACTACAGAAAGGAACAGTTTGAAAAACAGAGCCCATCAGCCGCGCTCCTTGTCGAGGGAGGGGAACCCGCCTTTGCGAGGCCAGAGGGAACCGGAAGTCTTAGAAGCAGAGAAGAAGACGATCTGGGATGGTATAAACCTATTTGGACTTATAAGCCACTTACGCAAGGACTCGCTTCTCCACAATGTGGGTGAGGGAGTTGAAGACGCCTTGTCGCACGTGGACTTCCAGGGCGGGACAGAAGTTAGGAATGATCTGCAGAGGCAAAGGTAGGAGAGAGATGGAGAATACGCTGAAGTTTTAGTCGCTCTACGAAGCATCTTTGAGATGGTAACTGGCAACCAAGGCCAGGCAGGGTTGAAGAAGAAGAAGAAGAAGAGATTGGATTTATACCCCGCCCTTCACTACCCAGAGGAGTCTCAGAGCGGCTTACAAACTCCTCTCCCTTCCCCTCCCCACAACAGACACCCTGTGAGGTGGGTAGGGGCTGAGAGAGCTCTGTCAGAAACTGCTCTTTTTCAAGGACAGCTGTGCCAGAGCTTGTGACTGACCCAAGGTCACATCAGCAGGTGCAAATGGAGGAGTGGGGAATCAAACCCGGTTCTCCCAGATTAGAGTCCGCACACTTAACCACTACACCAAACTGGCTCTCAGCAGCCAGCAACGCTCCCGGGGACCTTACCCGACACATGAAGTCCAGCAGGGTGGCAGTGATGGCTGGGTGTGGCTTCATGGAGTGGTGCATGACTAGAATGGCTGGCTCTGGAAGGCAAAACAGGGCAACGTCTGGTTCGAGGAAGAAAGGAGGGGCACGCAGGCTGCCTGATAGACCCTGAGAGGTACGTTCTCCTAGATAAGTTATTATGTTTGCTGCAAGAGTTCCGATGGGACCCCAGGGAAAATGCTGCTGTTTTAAGAGTTTTACACTCCCAAAGAGAATTTATTGCGCCTTATGTCTTGTATGTATATCACTGTCCTTGAAAAAGATTATATTTGATATATCAAGCCTGCTACAGCAAGAGAGACCTATTTCCCACAAGCCGCTGCTCTGCGCTCGCTCTTTCCTTTGCCCCGGTCGTACGTGTCAGTTTCACACTATGTGCCCTGTGGCCGCATTTTGCCCCGTAGCTTCGCCCAATTTCCCCGGCGTCTACTCAAGCCTCAAAAAGCAGGATTGAGTAGACGCGGGGGGGAAATTGGGCGAAGCTGCGGGGCAAAATGTGGTCACGCGGCACACGGTATGAAATGGACACGTACGATCGGGGCAAAGGGAAGAGCGAGAGCGGAGCAGCGGCTTGTGGGAAATCGGTCAGGGTCTTCACCTGCCTCCTAAAAGCAGCAAATGAAGGAACCTCACATCGCGTGAGGCTGCCATAGACTGAATTGGTCTGTCAAACTCAGTCTTGTCTACTCAGACTGGCTGCAGTCTTTCATATCATGTACTGCCTGGTCCCGTTTAACTGGAGATGCCAAGGACTATACCAGGGACCTTCTGCATGCTGAGAAGATGCTCTGCCACTGAGTCACTGCCCCCTTCCCTCCCTTTAAAACTTCTGGCCTTCTAGGAACTCCTCTCCCGTGGATTTGGGTGCCAAGGAGCCTCAGTGGCACTGCAGAGGATTCTAGGGCACGTTATTTCAATTCATGCACGACGCCGGTCAGACCCGCTGCTGGAATTGAAAGGGTCCTCTAGCTATATACCCAGTCCTTCTATGCAGCTGTACCATGGTAAGCAAGCTGCCTGTCAAGAGATACTTGTAACAGCAAAAAACAAGGGGCAGCAGTATGACATTATTAGTATACAAAAGAATTACTGCAACAGTGCAACAAAAGAATTACTGCACTGTTGCAGTAATTCTTTTGTCAAGAGATACTGCCTACCTTCTCCCTGAAAAGGGCACCTCTGGAAAACCTGGCAAGGTGGAGGAGGCTGAGACTCCCGACTGTGAACCTCTCACTCACTCACTCTGGGTCACAGAGGGAAGGGAGGTGGGGTTGGGGGAACAGAAATTGGGACAAGCCCGACGGAGGAGGGCTTTGCCTCTACTGGATCGGAGAGCGAGGACTTCACCGTACCAATGTTCATGATGCTGTCTTTCTCGGGGCTGAAGAAGAGCCAGTCGTAGAACAGGGCCAGCTTGGCGTTGGAAGCGGCTACGTTGGACTAGACGGAGGAGAAAGAGAGAGAGAGAAGGTAAACGGAGACATCTTCGTAGTCAGTTCTGCTCTGTCCTGCGGCATTCTGAGGCCCGGGTCAAGCCGGCGCGGAAGCCGCAGAGGACTCGGGGCACGAGGGGGTGCTGGCAACTTTCTTCCTCTCTGGCGGAAGGCGGGCGGCACGGAAAACGGATCTTGGAGAGGAAGGGGGGGGGAGCATTTGGAGGGAGAAGGAGCAAGCAGTAGCGCACCTCCCCCCCCCCCCGGACTTTGCCTCCCTGCCCGCAACCCC